CCATCAAAGTGTAAGATGTCCTTTTCTCCGTCTCGTGCCACGCTTTCTTTCTCCTTTGCAGGATCAGTTCCAAATTCCGTGTCGAGAACCAGTGGCCTTTCGAGATTTTGCACAGCACTCTCCACAGACAGCATGTCACGCACAATCGAGGGCTGCGTCATTTTCTCTTTCCAAGATGGAGACGATTTTGAATGAAAGGGGAGCGGTCGTCTGTTTCCATGTCTATGCCGTTGAGCTCAAGCTCCCGCTTCCAACCTTTGCTGCGCCACATTTCGTCAAGCCACTGCTGCCAACCTGCCGTGAGCCCGACTGCAAACATATGACTATCTTCGTTACGAAAAAGAAGAGCCTCTTGTTTTCCCCGCCAATGCTCGCCGAGCTGCCACAAGGCCTGATGTAGCTCGGCGCTTGAGTTCCATGGCAACACGTCCTGGCGTGGTCCTTCGCCTCCAGAGGCCATCACGTTTTCTTGGGGTCGGCGCGGCAAAGAAAAGGTGGAGGATGCTGGTGGCCCCGGGGGTTCGACAGAACTTTTCAAAGCGAGATAGGCCGCTATTCCCTCAAACAGGAGCTGCGTCCCGTAGATCCGTTGCCGAAACCCAAAGTCTCTAACGCGCCTCCTTCCCGTGGTGGAGAGGACGGACGGAGGGTGTAAGTGCTGTTTCCACCTCTCCGCGGAGTCCCAAGAATCTGGTCGATCAGGATCTCCTGGAGACAGCGCCGCTTGCACAAACTGATCCACACGATTGGCCGCCAATGCGGCCCCGAAAACTTCAATTTTGGTCACGGCGGGCTGCTTCTGGTCCCCCGCATCCATGGCAGTGTCCCGTTCGCGTGGGGTGAGTGTTTCGTCCGCGTGCCTGAGAACGTCATACTTCCTCACGCTGGTTTCTAGCTGGTTCTTCAGATACCGTGCAAGCGCTTCGGTGCCACCATTCCAGGCGTGCTCTAAAGCAGGCACCCACTCATCCTGAAGGAAGGTGTACTCTGGCCCATGGATCCTCACCAATTGCAACGAGTAAGGGCGGCGGTGGTCCCCCGTGCCGGCAACTGCCTCGCCGAGTGTGTGGAAGTGGGCCACGGGCTTTGTAGCGCCGCGCGGCAGAAACTTCACGTTTCCCGGCGGAATCCGAAGGTGGCGGGCTAGGTCTGCCACGTGCCAGCTAGGCCAGTTCTCGTGTTCCTCCACGGCAAAAGGCTCACTGGCTGACAACGTACTGACCATCAGCTCTCCCCATTGCACCGGCTCTTGCGCCCGAGCAGCAGCAATTTCTGTCGCTTCTTCTTCATTCAAACGCCCGTTCTGGAGAAAGAATCTAAATTTACTGTCAGTCCTGCGCTCCTCCATTTGCTTTGAACCCGCAGCGGCTGCAGCTCTCACCGGCTGGGCACCAAAGCAGCAAAGGGACGTGAGGCCAACCGTGGTAAAAAGAGCCGCCGAATAGCAGCACAGCCCTGCATTCTTGCTTCCCATCATGTCTTCCAAATAATGCTAAATAGCTGCTGCTGCTATTTCGTATACTATAAACCAAAAATGTAAAGTTCTTGCGCAATACAACGCAAAAATGCAACAATTTTCCACAAAAAGCGTTCGCGATTTGTGACTAGTCACGTAGAGACGAGCAGTGTGCGTTCGGAAGAGATCGCTGCGAGACGTTGGATAAAGGAACTGTTGAAACTCTCACGATTTTTTTTTGTTCCGCTTACTTAGTGCTCTGCTGCTCACAGCTTCATCAACCTCACTGCGAGTAAATCGGCTCAATTCGATCTTCTGCGGTCCATCGCAGAGGCGCACTGTGCTTTTCTGTTCCGTGATTGTTTCGTTTCTTCGCACGCGATCACTTGAGCGAAAATGCCTACGGTCCCTTTCGCAAAAATAAGTAGAGCGTTTTGCAAAAATAGAGAAGACAGTGCATATGAACATGTGTCTCGTCATTGGTGACATCAAGTGCGAACCAGTTCCCAAACGAAGGACTAATGTGAGCGTTCGGATTAAACTTCCAGCTGAGTTGATTCGTTTCTGGAACTTTTCCAGAAGAGATCGTAAGGTTGTTGCGCCAAAGAGCGGCTTGTTCTCGTTGCTGCAAAAAACTTCTCGGAAACCATCAAA